GTGAAGAAAATCAGCTGGATTTATAGTGTATAAGGGTTATTTCTTCGACGCAAAGGCTGCAACAATATTCAAAACCATACGAAAGAACGTGATGAGATGAATGAAAATACGACGCAGTATAAGAGTACCGGAAAAATGGAGCGCGAAAGATGAGGGCAGTTTGGTCTAGACATAAAAATGAATGTTCAGTCAGCTGTTCAAGTTTTTTCAAAAAAGCAAGACAAAAAGAGATCATGAACATGTACCATCCAGTAACGCTTCGAGGTCCAGTTTCCCGTTCTGAGCTTTGGCGTTTTCTCATCGTTGCCGAAATGAATGTAACTATTAATTTCTTCCAAGTCAAAATCATTTATCTATATTTTGTTTCCGAACATATAACCACATTACATCTCTTTCGTTTTTCCATAGTTTTCATATCCATTTTCTTACCTTGCACATTGAGTTCTCAGAGCATCTTATTTGTTCGAGAATGCTTTTCTGCAATAAAAGATGTCGTAAACTGTTCGCCATTAATGTTCAAACATCGATTTCATCCTGCAAAATACAGTCCCAGGAGTGGTCGCAGAAAACGTGAGCGTTGCGGATTTCCCTTCCTACGCCTTTTCTGTTCGATATTCAGAATGGAGTAGGGGGCAGAACTTTATGTTTTAATAGCCTACATCCGCTTTCTTAGTGATTCCCACATAGTTTCTACCATTCCCCCTCTCTACAAATTTTCGTTATCCTCCTTCGAACTCTACTTCTGCAGCTAAATAACTCATCGTAAAACCGTGGTGAAATTTTTGAGCTCTTCTAAAAAGTCAGTATGAAGTTACGGTGATGTCACTTGCAGGTGCGATGGAAGGGTTATAAAGCCGATGAGGATACGTGGGAGCCGGAGGAGAATCTCGAGTCAGCTCCATTGGCTCTTAACAAATTTTTTGTGACGAACCCGAAAAAAGTGGCGAGAGTACGGCAAAGCATATAACTTCATCAGAATATGCACTATAACAGGTAGAGGTGAAAAAGGAATTAGTGGAAGAAAAGACGGGCTGCTTCGGCCCGGGGTTACTTAGCTTATGCTGAGACTGGAGAATCAAATCTCTACTTTTTTGATAAAATTTTGCTCACGGTGTTGATGATGAAAAGAGAACTATAAGGATGTCAAAACTAAGTGTAATAACCATAGGAATAGTGAGATATAAAGCTATCGTGGTATCACAAATAGGATTTTTTAATTGGGACGGGTACGTTTATTCTTTATAGGGCAAAAGGAAAGCAGAGGCGTAGTGACAGTCCCGGTTAATTTAAGACCTGTAGATTTGTCTAGAGCTCACCGAGCACCAGAAAAGTGTTGTAGCAAACTATCTTAAAGGTTCCGGCAGTAGGACTAGAAAGCTTGTTTAAACAATCCATTAGCAAAGTTCCGAAAACTTTCACTTTTTTTTAATGATTTTCTATACGTTATTGGCTCAAAGATTAAACACAATGTTTCTTTATATGTCGCCCATCAAGACTTCTGCTACACTGATACAGTGGCTTTCTCTTTACATCAATTCTCAAACTCTTTCTGCAGATTCACACTGACGTACATATGCCACCGCTATATCAGCAATAGCTGTCTCGTCAACTTAACTGTTTTTGATAGTCTTTATATGTTCATACTGATACATATTTGATTCATATATCAGCACTGTAGACTACTTTACATGTACTGTTCGCGGCGCAACTTTCCGTTCAAAGTAAAGGTTTCGATTTCGGCAGTAAGATATCAGCTTTCTTTTAAGTCCTCCGTTCATTTTAATAGCAGGCTGGTATTAGCACACATTAGAAAGTCGAACCCATCGTTATCTTGTTTCAAACTAATCTGCAGCAAACGGAGCCTTTCCATAGCAGGGATTGGTGTTTTGGTGGTCTAATATTTTCCTCTTGTAACCGTTCGTAAGAAAGAAAGGATCATAGGAGGCCTCACGAGTGATTGTTTTTGGCCCGTGGGG